AGAGAATATAGCCGATAATACCATAACTTTGCATGATGACACTGTAAGGTATATAAGTACTGGAGCACTGTTTTACACATAAAACTAATATAATATTGTATGCCAACTATACTTTAATTTGAAAAAAATTAAATAATCAGTTCTCCTAAACATTAGATGACATCACTTAGAAAAATAATGTAGATTAGAGGACATACTAGTAAATTAGTGGTCCATGGACCCAACTGCTGATACACAGACATGTTTCATTTTTTTGTCTCCACGTTTAAAAACTTGTGCCAGAAGTTAAAATTAGTAGAGTTCACATTTAAAAAAATCTATATTCCAAGTTTTTCTTTAAAGAACTGAATGATCTGGCAACACTTGGCTTGAACAGTATAGCAGCTTTCCCATGTCTTCTCAACACTGAAGCCAACTGTCATCTTCCATTTATCATTATATTTGTATACCACTGTTTTTCTAGTACAAAGAAGTATTTCTCAGGGTCCATGTCTCTCTCAAAACTAGGAAAATGAAAGATAGACCATAGAGGCCTTGTGTTTAAAGAAGAAAAAGGGAGGAAACATATTCTTTGAAATTTAAGAATATTCCTATGCATTCGAAATACAATCACTCTACATCATTCATTTGCATGTCCTATCTGGAGCTTGTAGGCATCTGAGTTGCTATCCCTGGGGTGGAGAGAGAAGAGACCAAGCCTGAGCCATCTCAGTATTTAGATGCCAGGTAGAAGAGGGATAAGAAAAGGAAAAGGAGGAAAGAACAGTAAGATAGGAAATAGGAGAGTGTGAAGGTATGAAAGCTAAGAAGAGACTGTCTTGCGTAGGAATTGTGCAGATGTTTTTGAGAACTAGAATAATGAGTCCAAATAAGTGTTCACTAGATCAGAAAACAAGAAAGCCACCAACTTGACCAGTTTCAGTGGAGTATGATAGAATGTCATTAAAGTAGGGTGAAGATTAGGGTACAGCAAATTATGCCCAAGAGACTAGAAGAGAAGAAATAAGAGGAAGAGTAGAAATCAATGAAATAGAACATACACAATAAAGAAGATCAACAAAGCCAGAAGTTGGTTCTTTGAAAAGACTAATAAAATAGATAAACCTATGGAAAGAGTAATCAAGAAAAAAAGAGAAGCACAGCCCTGACCGGTTTGGCTCAGTGGATAGAGCATCGGCCTGCGGACTGAAGGGTCCCAGGTTCGATTCCGGTCAGGGGCATGTACCTTAGTTGCGGGCATATCCCCAGCGGGGGTTGTGCAGGAGGCAGCTGATCGATGTTTCTCTCTCATCGATATTTCTAGCTCTCTGTCCCTCTCCCTTCCTCTCTGTAAAAAAATCAATAAAATATATTTTTTTTAAAAAAAGAGAGAAGCACAAATAAGCAAGAATGTCAAAAATGAAAAAGATGCCATCCCTACATATCCATCAGACGGGGGGGGGGGGACGGACTGTTGGAGGATATTATAAACAAGTTTATGCCTGTAATTTAAAATTTTGATAAGACAGATTTAAATCAAAAATATAATTTATTAAAACAGACATGAATAAATAAAAAATATGAATAGCCTGAAACTATTTTTTTTAAAGTGTATCCATAATCCGAAAACTTCCCTTAAAAGAAAACTCCAGATGGCTTCACTAGTAGATCCTAATCAAAAATCTAAGGAAAATAAAATGATAATCTTACATAAACTCTTCCAAAGAACACAAAAATAAGGAGCAGCCCTAACTCATATGAGGCCAGCATAACTTTTTAAAAAATCCTCACCCAAGGCACATCGTTGCGAGAGAGAAACATCAATCAGTCAGTTGCCTCCTGTAAGCGCCCTGACTGGGGATCGAACCCACAACCTAGATATGTGCCCTGACCAGGAATGGAACCTGCAACCTTTTGGTGTATGGGACGACACTCTAAGACATGCTAGAGAGAGGAAGTGGGGGGTGGAGGGGGAAGAGAGAGAGAGAGAGAGAGATCAATCTGAAGGAGAAATATCAAGTGGTTGCCTTCCGTACATGCCTGGACCAGGCCCTGCTGGGTAGCTAAGTTGGTTAGACTATTATCCCGATACACCAGGGTTGCAGGTTTCATCTCCCCGGAGAGAGCACATACAAGAATCAACCAATGGCCAGAACCGGTTTGGCTCAGTGGATAGAGCAGCCGTGGGCAAACTACGGCCCGCAGGCCGGATCCGGCCCATTTGAAACGAATAAAACTAAAAAAAAAAAAAGACCATACCCTTTTATGTAATGATGTTTACTTTGAATTTATATTAGTTCACACAAACACTCCATCCATGCTTTTGTTCCGGCCCTCCGGTCCAGTTTAAGAACCATTGTGCCCTTGAGTCAAAAGTTTGCC